GGGGCAGAGCTCTTGATGTAAGGATTCTGGCTTCGGTTTCTGAGGGAAGCCGCACCCTTGGGTTCTGCCGTGCATCACCCGGTCTGGAAACGTCACCTGCACTCGTGTGCAGCACGGTGGTGCCCCGTGTGCGGTGGAAGGCGGGCCCGCGCCCTGCTCTCCAGCTCCTGCCGACGACTTCCCTGCCCTCCCACTTCACCCGCCTTTTCTGTAGGTGACAAGGCTCTCGATGGCTACAGTAAAAAGAAGTACGTCTGCAAGTTGCTGTTCATCTTCCTCCTGGGTCATGACATTGACTTTGGGCACATGGAGGCCGTGAACCTGCTGAGCTCCAACAGATACACGGAGAAGCAGATCGTGAGTGTCTCCGGAGGGGGGCGGGGGTCGGGGTGGGGCTGGCATCCAGGACACCTGAGGCCGCCCCAGGGCCCCCCTCCCCTCCAGGAGGCAATCTTGCCCGTGGAAGGGCCTTTTCTTCTGGGCGGGGTTCTTCTGATTTGGAGGCCGTTTCTTTCCTTGCTCGCTCTTTCCAGCTCCCCTGCAGCCGAGACTTCCTGTGGGTCTAGATGGATGCTGCAGGGAGCCAGGCTGGGGTGTCTGGGGCAGGCCTGCTTCCTGCCCCAGACTGTCTGCCTAACTCACCGGCACGGACAACCCCCCCACCGACCCGCTCCCCGTGGTCCCTGTACAACTTTCCCTTTCTGGCAAGGCCGCCACAGCCCCGTGGCAGAAGAGCTGGAGCTGCTCCTGGGTGTGCCCTTGCCCTGCTGCCGGCTCCCAGTGCCCTTCCAGATGGCGCTGGCACCTGGGCCCCTGAAGCCCTCTCCGGCTTTGTAGCTTTAGCCCTGTAGCTCCTCAGAGTAGCAATATTTTTATGTTTTCCCCAGTGTTGCAAAGTTAACAGTTTCCTCTGTCCGAAAATTTAACTTACAGGAAGTAAAATAACAAAAAACCAAACAACCCTAGACCCCCCCCACCCCAGGAATGTCATGAAGTATTGGTATTTACCTGATAAGAATTTGGGTGTCTGCCATGGACCAAGCAGTCTGCTGGGAGGCCCCTGGGGACATAGGGACCAAAAGCAGATGTGGGCCCTGCCCTTTTTCAGTGAAGAGATGGCATCATACAGTTCGTAAACAGAGAATTATAGCTGTGGCCAGTGCCCAGGGCAGAAGGTGTGGAGAGCTTTCTGGGGCCCTGAGAGGGGCTGGCCGGTAGGGAAGGCCCTCCAAGGAGGGCATCCTGAGCGGGGACAGAAGGACGAGGGCTTAACTGGGGGATGAGGGCAGACAGAGCCAGTAGCGCCCAGCTGGGCTCACGTGTGCCGGAGCTGAAGGGGCAGCGGTGGCTGGAGGGGAGACGGGGGAGGTGGGCTTGTGGGTGGGGCCTTTCTCCCAAGGCCAACAGGAAGCTGCACAGGAGTTTCACCTGCACGGTCAGTGATGAGATGAGTCTCGAGAAGGTCACTGTGTCCCCTGCATGGGGAGAGTGTGGACGGCAGGGGTGACACGGGGCTGGAGTTGGGCCAGTGGTGAGGGCGCAGAGACAGATCAAGAGAGAGGGTGAGGCCGGAGTGAGCAGGGTTTCGGGAACTCATCATGGTTTCTTGGGGCCTTCCAATCAGGGTCCTTTCCGCCCTGTTCAGGACAGTGGTGAGTCCACATTGCTCACACGTGGTACCATGGATAGGTGAGTGGGATGGGAGGTGGGACTGGGGACCGAGGCGTCTGGTTCCCATGGGGACGTCTAAGTGCCTCTTGGGTGCGTCCCTCAGGACTGTCTTATGGCAGAGCCGGAAGCAGGGACTTTGCCTCTTTAACGACACTGGTGCTTTCATCAGAGTGCAGAGGAACCCTCTGTGGCGCGACCCCCTCCTGCAGGACACTGGGCAGTGGAGGCGTCGGGAGGCCGGCCCAAGGCTGGACGCTTGTGCCTTGTTGTCCGTGTCGACCCAGGTTGTCACGAGCTCTCTGTCCTCTTGTCTCTCTGGAACCAGGGCTACCTCTTCATCTCTGTGCTGGTGAACTCCAACAGCGAGCTGATCCGGCTCATCAACAACGCCATCAAGAACGACCTGGCCAGTCGGAACCCCACCTTCATGGGCCTGGCCCTGCACTGCATCGCCAACGTGGGCAGCCGAGAGATGGCCGAGGCGTTTGCTGGGGAGATTCCGAAAATCCTCGTCGCTGGGTATGTGTCCCATGACTTGTCGGAAGTGCGTGTGTCTCTCGCGTTAAGTGAACCAAACATGCAGCTACTTAGAGGATTTCTAGGATGAGTTCGTCTCCCTGTCTTAGGCGGTGGGGCAACCATACGTCTAGGTGCCTGGCGAAGTCCCGTCACGCCTCTCCTGCCCCAGTACCGCCGGGGTTTGGAAGAGCACGGAAGAAGGGCCCTGCCGGCTGCAACCAACCGACGAGGGCCCAGCCTCCCACGCGGCTGCCGAAGAAGGAGCGCGTCGTCCTGGGTTGTGGTGCAGCACCCCTTCTCGCCCTTTCTCCAGAGTGTCACTGAGGAAAAGTTCAAGCACAGAATTCTTAGAGACCTATCCCCACCCCCTTTGATTTGGAGAGGGGCCACGTGGGGCAGAGTAGGCCGCTCTGGAAGGGTGCCACGGGGCATGGCAGAGGCAGGGTCCTGCGTTCGTGTTCCCGGACTCTGCTGAGCTGGGGAACTGACCCAGGGTCCACACCCTGGTGACACATCTGGCTCAACAAGCGCCCCAGGCCCGGGCACTTCGTCGGGACCAAGCTCTTCCAGGATGGCCGGCAGTGCAGACAGAGGCCATGGCACTGTGGATGCCGGGACACCGCCCCAAACCCTGTGGCACACGGACGCTCCTCCCTGAGGCCTAGCTGTGCCTCCGGGGCGAGCCCTGGGCTGCACCAGTGACCAGAAGGGCTGTGGCCACACAAGCCCCGGAGGAGTGTCTGTCCGAGGCGTGTGCCACCAGAGGGAGACGGAGTGGCCAGGCCGGAAGCAAGGCCCCACGGGAAGGGGGGCGGGGCACTCAGAGACACACGCCGGGAGCAGGTCACTCACTGGAAGGACAGCAGAGCCGAGGAAGCAGGTGGGGAGCCGAGACGACGCTCCACGTCTGCCGATGAGAGCTGTGGGGCATGGTGGCCGCCCTGAGCGCAAACTAAGACAGAAGAGACTCGAGGGACTTGATGTGAGCAGAGTGACCCTGACGGGACGTTCGGGTCCGGACCCCACCAGGGTGGGTGTGGGTTCAGGGCCGCACGGCACCTTGTTTTCCTCACTCGTTAGGGCTGCACCAGGTTGGGCAAGGCCTTCCCTGAACCCCTTTCCCTGCTCTGGCTGCCGCCTGGCCCTTGCCCTGTTCCTGGCGCACACCAGGGAACACGTCTGCGCCCTGCCTGCCTCCGCCCGCAGAAGGCAGGCTCCTGGGGGCTGAGGTTTCTGTCTGCTGTGGCCATTGCTTTATTTCCAGCGTTTTGACCAATACCTGGTACACAGTAAGTGCTTGAAAAATGCCTGTTGGACGAGTGTGACGTAAACAGAGGTAATCTCTGGAGAGCATTCAGATGGCAATTGAAGAACGCTTTCCTGAAGTAAAGGACGGACCGCACCTATGGTGAAAGGGCACAGGGGGCGCACGGCGAGGCCCAGCGTGGACGGGACGGGGGAGAATCCTGCTGTGGGAAGACAGTTGAGCTGTGCCTGTGAGTTTCACGGCCTAGGGGACCTGGCGCGGTCATGCCCACCCCGCTGGATTACCTGTCAGAATCGAGGTCACAGACAAGCCTACACCAAGAGGCTCAGGCCGCGTGGTACCCACGAGCCCTATTCGAACGCCATTCCCAGCTCTTGAATGCGCAGTTAACCCACGGGCAGCTCAAGGTGAAGTGCTCAGGCTGGAGACGGCCAGAGACGGACTGAGGCATTGCAGGGGTGGCAGATGCAGAGGAGATTGTCAGCAGTCAAATAACTGCACTGGAGTTGGCACGTTGGGGGCGGGACGGCGGCCCCCAGCAGGGGTTCAGGAAGCGAGGGTGCCGGGCACTGGACCATGGGCCCGAGATAGAACTGACACAGAGCGGGCAGTGGCCTCCCCGGCCTCCCCAGGGGTGTTGGATGCCGTACTTCCCTCTCCTCGAATGTTCTTCTGGTGTGGGTCCCGGGGGCAGGAAGGCCCTCCCGTGCGAGCACAGAAACGCAGTGGTGACTTGGGGCGGCTCTGCCGTAAGGCCTGCGGGGCGTGCTGCCTGCTCCTTGTGAGGATGGTGTGGGGCCAGAGAGGGCCAGGGACGGACTGCTCCCCCGGGGCAGTAGAATCCTACGGGGTTTCTGTGAGGGCAGTTTCTCCCGGGGGTGGAATGGGGAGCAGCTTGAGGGTTTCTTGTGTTGGGCTGGATTTAGGGCCGAGAAAGCTATGAGGCGGGTAAATGGTGACGACGGTCCCCAGCCCTCCTCTCCCCTTCACGTGGAGCGGGAGCCCCCACTGCTTCCACCGTTGCCCTGCCGTGTTCTTTTTCAGACGGCCTCCACGGGGCTGTTCCTTGGTGGGCGGCTCAGCGGAATTTGGCTGGGGTTTGGTGGGGAGGAGGGATAAACAGCCCTGGGGACGTTCTCTGCCCGCCGCCAGCATTAAAACCGGAGCAGGAAACCCTCCAGATGTCCCTCTCCCCGGCTGTCTGCAGTCGTTCTGACCTAGCTTCTCAGTGTTTGCTGTGCTCCAGGGACCCTGGGCTCTGTGGCTCAGTGGCTACTTTTCACAGTCAACCACACGAAGGGGCAGGAGGGCATTTGAATCCTCGCCTCTGCTGTCCCAGCACAGAGAAGCAGGGGGTGGGGTGCTTCACAAGGGCACCCGACAGGGGCTTTGGACACAGGAGGAAATCGCCGGGGGCGTTTTGTGGCAGTGCAAGGCTCTCTGTTCTTTCTGTTTTGATTGTATGTTGTTAACTGAGTTTTGAAAAAAATACCGTGATCCAAGCAGAGAGGAGCATGAGTCGAATATGGTCAGTCTTGCAGAGCCAAGGTCTTATTCAGCAGTTGGGAAAAATACCAGAACTGACACTTTTGGAGATGAGACACCTTTCCTGGTGGGATTCTTTGCTGTTGATTGTCTTGGGCAGGAGCCAAAGGCAGGTCTTCAGAGCAGAAGCCGTCTGTCACTGTCCACACGTGGTCCACACGGACACCTCTCGGAGGTGGTGGGCGTGGGCTGGATCACACGGGAGGGTGCAGTGACCTGGTCTCCATGTTACTCCGGCGTATGATCTGTGAGGCTCGGGGCCGTGCTTAGCTTGTTGGGGCCACGTGGGGTGCCAGCCGTGTTCTCGAGCGACCACCGGTGTTTGTCTTTCAGAGACACCATGGACAGCGTGAAGCAGAGCGCCGCCCTGTGTTTGCTGCGTTTGTACCGAACGTCTCCCGACCTCGTCCCCATGGGTGACTGGACGTCCCGCGTGGTGCACCTCCTCAACGACCAGCATTTGGTGAGTGCCTTTGGACGAGGGTCCTGCTCACCCCACCAAGTGACCGTCTCTGGGATGGCCATTAAGAAAACAGCAGCTTGGTGCTTTCTGAGGGGACACCGAGCTTAGTCCACTGAGTCTGTGAGCGTGTGTGCGCTCCTGTGGCTAGGGGGAGGAGCCCCTCCTTCCCGGGGGTGGGACCGTGCAGACACGACCTCCAGCCCGCCCCAGAGCTAGCTGTCGCAAGGCTTCCCGTGTGCTGGGGCCGCACAGACCGGCCAGACCGAGATCAGCGGCTTCTGGAGACACCCTGTCCAGGGAGGGCAGTCCGTGTGGTGTGCCTGTCTGTCAGGCGGTGGTGAGGGTGTCCCGTGACCCCCGCCTAAGCTCCTGCCCGCAGTCTTGCTAGTCTGCACGACTGCTCCACAGGCCAGGCCTGAGTGTCCTCCCTGTGTCGTAGACAGGAACGTTTGGTGGTTGTGGTTTGACATGGGTCACAGGTCCGGTCCACACCAGCCGGGGCATACAGGGTCGTGACACCAGGAGATGGGTCAAGTTGGAGCAGGCGTTCGGCACAGTGGCTTTGCGCTGTGCAAATTCTGTTGTAACACTGAGAGAATTGAAATGTAACACAGGGTCTTCTCCTGAGTAGATGGGGGTTAGTATGCAGGCTGCTTACTATGTTTTTTCCCAGAAACGAACCTACCTCAAAAATTAAAAATAAATGATCATTGCGTGCAGATTCAGAGGAGAGAGCCGGTGGCCGTGTCGGCAAGCTTGCTGTGCTGCGGCCGCCCCGGGGGCTGTTCCCACGTTGTCGTTGCCCATGTTTACTGGGTGTTTGTGTCCAAGCACGGCAGCCCTCCCTGAGGGTGGAGCTCCGCCTCTGTGGCCAAGTCCTGGGGAGAGGGGGAAGGGCCTGGGTGGGGGGGGGTGGGGTTAGGGTTAGGCCTGCACGCCGGGTCACCCTCAGTCTGTTCAAGTTCAGACTCCGCTGGTAGAGCCGGGAAGCCGTGCTGGTGGCCGTGAGGCTTGAGGCCACGGGTCACCCACCAGGCAGCCCCTGCGAGGCAGTGGGGCTTTTTCTAGTTTTGCACCTGAGGAAACCGAGGCTCGGAGAGACGGAACGGCTTCACATAGATGCGGATTTGAACCAGGAGGTGACGGAGGGTCAGAACTGGGACAGCTTGGGGGGCCCGAGCCACACGGCCAACCGACACCAAAGCCCTTGGCCAGCAGACGTCCACCCCCAGCACTTGTCGCAGTGACGGGGACTATCCCAACTGCCCGCAGGATTCCTCTCGCCGACACCCAAAGATCCTGCAGCCCTAGCTATGGGGTCCGCTTTGGTGCCCTGATGCACACGACTCTGCTTCACCAGGTGCGCTGCCTGGCACCTTCTTGGCTACAGGCACCAGAACCCAGCTCGAAGCGGGAGAGGTGGAGGGGCCGGCCCAGCCAGACCACGGGAGGGCTGAGCCCATCATCACCCCGCCTCCTTTTAGCCTGCTGTTCTCGGCCCACGTTCACTGTTCTCTTGGCGCCTGTCCTCCGTGTGGCCTTGGCTTCCGTGTCAGATACTTCCTGGCTTTGCCGGTGAAGGAGGCCTGAGACTTGGCTTTCTTTGGTTTCAAGGTCAAAGAATGCCCAAAGGGGTGTCAGCTGGGTGGCAGAGCGAGCCAGCCCCTGTGGGTCCTGTGTTCAGAGAGCAGTGGAAGAGCTGAGGGGGTGTGTGTATGTGTGGGGGGGGCAGGCCATGGGCTGTGGCCCGGGGGGCAGCACCGAGGGCCATTTGGGCCTGCCCCGGTCTTCTCACACTGCCCTTCCTACGAAGACCCCTGCAGGGTGCGGAGGACGTGAGACACTGTGCTTTAGGAGTCTCCTCAGAATGCGCAGATTTGTTCTGTCCTCGTGGTGGGCCAGGCCGAGCCCCACACGCTTAGGAGCCGTGGGGACCAGCTCTGCCCTGGTGGGACCTGCGTGCTCACAAATACTGACCTGTCGGAGCTGGCTTGCGAGGGGAATCTGTTGGTACTTACTCTGCCCGCTGAGAAGTGGGCGTTGAGGCCAGTTAGGTCCGTTCGGTGCAGCCTTCACGCTGTCGTTGGAAGGCTGAAGGAAGCGCTCAGCTCTGGCTCTCCCCCACGGTCTCCGTCCTCGAAGCCTCGCAGCTGCTCGAGATGCTGGTCTTGTCCCACCTGCTCGGGAGCACGGTGGAGGATGGCCAGCCGGGTCCGGTGGGGGGGGGCAGGGCTCTCCTGGGCTTTGTCCTCGTCCTCACCGTCAGTAGTGGCATTCCTTTGTTCGCGTATCTGTGAGGGCATCTTTTCTTCACCAGCATCCGCCTTCAAGAGATGTGGATTGCCGGGAGCCGCTCCTGGCGGTGCCGGGACAGCCGTCTGCAGGGAGAGTCCCTGCACGTTGAGGCCGGGTGCCGTGTGGGGGCCCTGCAGGGAAGGAGTCTCGCCTGGGTCTGGGGTGCTTCGGGGGCCAGTGTGGTGGGGACCCAGCCTGGACTGCTTCCAGAGAAGGGGAAGAGTGGGCTCTCTCAGTTGTCGTTCTGCGCTGGAGTCTAGATAATGTCTCCCTCCCCAGTCCACACAGAGTGATTTTTTTTTCTTTAAAAAAAAATTTTTTTTTTAATGCTTTATTTATTTTTGAGACAGAGAGAGACAACATGAACAGGGGAGGGGCACAGAGAGAGGGAGACACAGAATCCGAAGCAGGCTCCAGGCTCTGAGCCGTCAGCACAGAGCCCCACACGGGGCTCGAACTCATGAACCGCGAGATCATGCCCTGAGCCGAAGTCGGACGCTTAACTGACTGAGCCACTCAGCCTCCCCTTTTCTCTTTTTAAAAGATTTTATTTTACACCCAGTGTGAGGTTTGAACTCACAACCCCAAGATCGAGAGTTGCACGCCCCACTGGCTGAGCCAGCCAGGTGCCCCCACACAGAGTGATTCAAATCAGGGGCAGCAGTGAGTGCAGCTGCCCACAGGACCGGACAGGCGGCCAGACCCAGAGAAGGGCAGGAGGGCCAGTCGGGATGGGGCCTCCGCTGCCGCAAGGGTCTGGGCCGCGCGTCCAGGCTTGCAAAGAGAGGCTCCAAAAAGAAAATGGGAATTGTGCGCTCTTGATTGTTAGAGATCTGCGAATCTGGCCCACGGACTACAGGTCTTTGCTCTCCATTTGAAGTTTTATTCGGAAAATGACTTTGCAACGAGAGGCCAGGCACTTTGGCTGCAGTCACAGCATGTACCTGTCGTGTCTGTTCCAGGGTGTGGTGACCGCGGCCACCAGCCTCATTACCACCTTGGCCCAGAAGAACCCCGAGGAGTTCAAGACTTCTGTCTCTCTGGCCGTGTCCAGGTTAAGCAGGGTGAGTCTGTCGACGGGGGCGGGACTCAGGGTGCAGTTTGGTCTCAGTTATTTTAAACAATACGTTGGTTTATTAAAGTGAATTATTCAATTAAATAATTATTAATTATTATTAAATAATAATTATTAAATTAAATAACTAAATAAAATTATTAAGGTAATTTTAAATAACACGTTGGTTTACTGTTTAGAGTTCAAGGTGTTTGGCTCAGTTTGCAAATTCAGGACTGAGGACTCTTCTTGGTTAGGAAGTCTTTGGGTTTTCTTTCAACCTTTTTGTCAGTTGAGAGGTGTCCTGTCTGCACGGGAAGGTGCACGGAGCGAAACAGCCCGGCTCACACTCGTGCTGCCTAGGGTGGGGGCGGGGGTGCCGGCTGGGCCCCCTGCTGTGGGGAGCCCTGTTCTCACTCGTGTGGCCTCGCTCCTTGCTTTCCTCCTTTGCTGCCTGAGCGGGTGTCCTTAACTCTGTTGTCTAGCTCCGACTGCGCCCTGAATCTTCACACAGATGGATCCGCGTATGGGGTGTAGTCTTTTATGTTTGTCCCGTTATGCTCCGCATTGTGGAATGACCGTATTTGTCCTGTGTGCCGTTCGTTCAGTTTTGACGCTGTAGGATTTGTCTGAACACACAGCACACGTGCCCAGCGCTGAGGCGGGTGTGAATCACCTGCTGGGAACAGCTTTGCTGCCTCGGTTGGTGTGTGCGTGTGCGTGTGTGTGTGTGTTGTCCCTGGAAGTGGCGCTGCTGGCTCGTGGGGTGGCCGTGCTTCACCTGAGGGGACGGTGCCACGGCACTCCGCCAGCAGCAGCGTGCAGTTCCCGCTGCTCTGCATCTTGGCTTTTTATTTATTTATTTTTTTTATTTTTTATTTTTTTTTATTTTTGGGACAGAGAGAGACAGAGCATGAACGGGCGAGGGGCAGAGAGAGAGGGAGACACAGAATCGGAAACAGGCTCCAGGCTCCGAGCCATCAGCCCAGAGCCTGACGCGGGGCTCGAACTCACGGACCGCGAGATCGTGACCTGGCTGAAGTCGGACGCTTAACCGACTGCGCCACCCAGGCGCCCCATCATCTTGGCTTTTTAAATGTTCGCCATTCTGGGGCGTGGCGGGGTCTCGTGATTTACGTGTCCGTTTTCTTCAGGGTCAGTGAGGTTGGGCAGCTTTGCGTGTTTATTGCTTTCTTGAACATCTTCTTCTGTTCCTGTGCCTGTTAAGAAGTCTTTTGCCCACTTTTCTACAGAGTTAGCTTTTTTATTGTTTTGTAGAAGTTGTTCTTCTCTACATATTTTAGATATGAGCACTTTCTTGGTTAGATTAAGTTGAACCAAACAAAATTGCCCACTTTTAACTATTACTGCTCTCTGAAAATGGCATCTCTGTATGCTTCAGTCTACCCTGTGTTTAAAAATCTTGTCCTACTCTGTAACTTGCCGTTTTACTCTCTTGGTGAGGTCTCCTATGGTCGGAAATTCCTCCTTTTAAAGCACCAATCCTTTCCTTTGTGGTTAGTGCTTTTTCTGCCCTACTTATGAGGTCTTTCCCAGTTCTGGGGTTTCATTTAGGTTGACCACCCGCTCTGGGACTGGTGTCTGTATATATCCAGTCCTAAAAGGCCTCCCTGCCCCCGCACCCCCCCAACAGTGCCGCCTTGACCACAAACCACGGGGCTCTGTCTGTGCCTCCTTCCCTTGGTATCATCTCTGTTCATTTTACACAGCGGTGCGCTGTCTTCGTTACTGGAACTTGAGGACAAGTCTTGATGTCTAGTGGAGCACGTGTCTTGTTCCCCCAAGAATCCTGTTGGGACTGCCTTTAATCTGTAGGTCAGTTTTGAGAGAATTCAAATCTTTACAGTATTGAGTCTTTGAATCTGTGACCATGGCATACCTCTCCATTTATTTGGGTAGTCTTTAATTTTTCTCAATAATGTTTTATAACTTTGTGAGTGGAGATTCTTTTATCTTTTGTTAGATATCTTTATACAGTTTATTTTTAAAATGCTGTCCTCAAGGATATCTTAAAATGTTATTTGTAAACTACTATGGGTTGGTTTTAAGTAACTGGTGAAGCCATTTGAGATTGGGGTTTCTTTGTTGGCAATTTCTTTTTAAAAAAATTTTTTTTAGTGTTTTATTTATTTTTGAGAGAGAGAGAGGGAGGGAGGGAAGGGCAGAGAGAGAGGGAGGGGCAGAGAGAGAGGGAGACACAGAATCTGAAACAGGCTCTAGGCTCTGAGTTGTCAGCACAGAGCCCCATGCGGGGCTTGAACTCATGAACCGTGAGATCATGACCTGAGCTAGAGTTGGACACTCAACCGACTGAACCACCCAGGCATCCCTGTTGACAATTTCTTATTATGGATTCAACTTGTTTGATAAATTATGAGTCTTTGTATTTTCTGTCCTTTCATTCGCTTTGGTTACGTTGCACTTTCCTGACATTTGCTAATGTGTCTCAATATTCAGATGTATTGACAGAAAGTTATTCTGCACACGGGGGTCCGTAGTGCTGCCTCCTTCCTGGTGTTGATGCGGGTATTTGCACCTTCTCCCTTTCCCGATTAGTCTCAGCAATTCTTCTGATTTTGTTGCCCTCTCTATTATGTTTTTTTTCTCCCTGGCTAGTTTTGCTTCATATTTTTCTTTCCTCTACTTTTTGGGTTAATCTGTTACTATCTGTAAATCTTTGAGGTAAATTACTCATTGCTTTCTTTTTTATATTCGTTTCAAATGTGTATGTTTAGGGTTGTAAGTTTTTGAGTGTGGTGTTAGCAGCACGAGACGGCCTGTATTGGCCCCCCCCGTCCTGAGGAGCACGGTGCTGCTCCCTGCCTTCCTCCAGTGCCTGCCCGTGTGCCCTCTGTCTATCGCTCTGCTTGTTCTGCCCATGCCTCAAACAGCATGGAGCTCACCTCCCTGCAGGAGAGGCCACCTCCTGGGTCCAGGCTGCTGTCTTGCAGCCGAGTATAGGAATTAGGTGAACCTTCCTGAATGTGTTCACCTAGGACCTAAAGTGTCACACCTGTGGCTTTGTAAGGCGGCGCTCCTCTGACTTCCCTGGCAGACACAGGAGGTGGGGAGGCACTGGGCTGTGTGTTAGTGGAAGTGAAATGTCTTAGGGGCGGTCGTGTATTTGGAAGGTAGAGGGGGTGTCTGCCCTGCCAAGGACTGTGATAGACAAGGAGATGGAGCCATGAATGGAGGAAGCTTGCTGTCTGGCCTCCGGTGAGCTCATGGCAGGGGTCTGTGCTGGAGGGCTTGTCCCTTCTGAGGGGACTGAAGTTCTCCCTTTTGTGTTTTGTTCACTTTCTGCTCCACAAAGGAATGATTGGGTTTCCGGTCTGTTGAATTCTGTAACGGTTCTGGGTCAGTGGTATAGGCTGGTGTGTGCCCACGGAGCGGGCCGGCCGTTGCACAGCAAGGGCGCGTGGCTGTTCCCCAAAGTGACAGCGGGCAGCTGCTCTCCATGGGAGCCTGGCACGGCTGTGCTCCTTTACCTCTAAAATAGGAGACAACTAAATGTCCCTATTAGCTCATCGAATGGAACTGTTTCTCGGGTAGTGTGTGACCTCAGGACCACGCCGAGGGCCTCTCTAAATGACACCCGTCCGCACCCTGTGTTGTCTTACAGATTGTGACATCTGCATCAACAGACCTTCAGGATTATACCTACTATTTTGTCCCGGCTCCCTGGCTGTCCGTGAAACTTCTGAGGTTGCTACAGTGCTATCCACCCCCAGGTAACAGCTGCCAGGACAGACCTGTCTGAGAGGGGTTTGCTTCAGCATCGTAGGGTTACTCTTGTGTTGTTATCTTTACGAGACCTTTTCTGCTGCTAGTTCTTGTTCTGCGGGTCCTTTATGATGCTGCCACACATCTTGGCTTTCCCAGAGCAGCTGGTAGAGAACTCACAATTTTCTTGGGATTTGGGGTTATCTCTGCTTTTTAGATAATATGGTATCTGTCCTGTGCAGCTTTTTGAAACAGTGTTTTTCAGTAAAACTGGAAACGCTTACAAGCTCTGTATTTTAAGTTGTTAATACTCTGTATAACCTTAATATACACAGTGGAGATATTTTTCTGTTGACGTTTTATTGCAAAATGTTACTTTTGACTAATACGGCAAGTATCTAGAAACGGAACTCTTTTTAAAGTTTTTATTTACTTATTTTTGAGACGTAGAGAGCGTGTGCATGCCCGCACGCAAGCAGGGGAGGGGCGGAGAGAGGTGGTGACAGATGATATGAAGTGGGCTCTGTGTGCACAGCACAGAGCCCAATGTGGGGCTCTAACGCATGAACTGAGATCATGACCTGAGCCAAGGGCAGATGCTTAACCGACTGAGCCACCAGGCATCCCTAGAAATGGAATTTCTTGATCAAAGGATGTAGATACTTCCGAGTTGTCCTTTACACTGATTGCTCGTTGTAACCTTTACGTTTTAATCTAATTGGTTTTGTGCAAGATATTTCTTTGTTAGATTCCAGTAATTTTCTCTTACTTCCATACTGAAGTATGAACTGCACACCTGCAGCCGAGCCTTCGTGTGGGGGGACTTCCCTTGAGCCGGAGCAGGACTGGCCTCCCCAGCAGCCACTCCTTACTTCTGCCTCCCTCCCTGCCCGGCCCTGCCCGGCCTGGCGGCCATCCCGCTCCTTCATTCTGAGATCTGGGGTGTGTCCACTCACTCGTGGGTGTGTTTCCCTCATGACTCTCCTTTCAGGGCTTGGCCACCTCTCTGCTCAAGCCCTGGGGCAGGGGGTGGGGGGAGCTCCCCAGGGCCCTGATGGCACCCCACCCGCGTCTGCAGGGCTCCGCTCTTCTTGACTGGCTGGGTTTGCTAGCCCTGGGTGTGCTGGGGGCTTTGGGGGACATGCTGTACAGGTTGTGTCTGATATTTGATATTTTTATTGCTTTCTTATTCTTTTTTTTTTGTCTATTATTTCTTTTTTCTGGTTTCATTAGAATTTTTAACATTTCTTTCTCTTTGTTGGTTTTGATAACAGTGTCTCTATTTCTATTGGAAATAGAAAGTGGAGGAAAAATCTTTTGTCCCCTTTCTTTCCAACTTTTATATTTCTTGTCTGCGTCTCCGAGATTTTCTTTTCTCTCTTCTAATTCAACGAAGGTGTTAAAGCATCTCATTTGCATTAAAATGTACATGCAGTGACATCCTCTCGCTGGAAAGAGCCGCGCACTCTGATGGGGAGCATGTGCTGGCCAGCCGGCTCCCCCTGGTTGTGAGGTGGTGCGGCTTGGGGGCAGGTGGCTCTGGGGGGCCCGGCCCGACAGCGCTCTGTCTCGCCCAGAAGACCCTGCAGTGCGAGGCCGCCTGACCGAGTGCCTGGAGACGATTCTGAACAAAGCCCAGGAACCACCAAAGTCAAAAAAAGTGCAGCATTCCAATGCCAAGAACGCCGTGCTCTTCGAGACCATCAGCCTGATCATCCACCACGACAGGTGCGTCAGCACTGGGCGGTGCTCTCCTTCCCCGGCCTCTTCCCCGGAGCATCCTGGGTGACGTCGGGTGCTTACCCGCTCCCCGACACGGACAGGTCGCCTCTGCCCTATTCAGATGGGTGCGTGCTCCCTGTGGGCTCCTCTTCTGGTCTCTCCTCCGCTGCTTCTCTCTGGCCTCAGAACTCGCGCACCATCTGCCGCGGTGTTACCTTTCCCCGAGGGCCTCTCCTGTTTGTCTGGAGCACCCTGCTGCTGCCTGGCTTCTCCCGTGACCGCACAGGAAGGGGGGCGGGGGCCCTGTCCGCGTGTGTCCCCGTTAGCCTTCCTGCGGCACAAAGCGACAGTCAGCATTGGTTTGAGGCCTTTGTGGGGATGTGGTGGCGGTGGCCGAGTGTGTCGGCGAGCAGAGAGATTGGGGATGGGGGGATGGTTTGCTTCCTTGCGTTTTCTTCTCAGCTCCTGTAGCCCGACTTCCTGCCCGTGGCCTTGAGCCCAGTGCCTTGTTTTAGCATTCCCGTTAGCGTGCCGGGGTGGCTCCCATGCGGGGCTGTGGGAGACGCTGCCAGGGTCCCCACGAGTGCCCGCTGCTGCACTCCACCCAAGGTGGTGTGGGGGCACGGTAGGCGTGGCCCACCCTCTCCCCGCCACCTTCCGCCTCGACGTTTTTGGACAAACGTAGTTACTTGTGACAGAAACTCAGTCTGAGAGTCCTACTTCAGCAGGGTTGGGAACTGTTGAAAACAAAACTTTAGAGGTCAGAGGAAGCCTTTTGGTCTTTATTGAATGCGTTTAAAGAGCCACAACATCACGAAGGTAAAGCGGAGAGTGAGCAGCAGGGTGGCAGAAACTTCTTGGCGGCTGGCGCTTCGGGACCCACCTCTCGTGTCTGCCTCTGTGCACGCAGCTCTCGGGACTCTTCCCATGGCAAGGCCCGTGTTCAGCCGTTCACCACGGCTGGCTGCCTCTGGCTGAGGTGACGTTTCCGGCCGCTCGGCGAGAGCCCGGAGCGTTCCCTCCGCCAGCTCGGCGCCGAGGCTCAGGAGGAGCTTGGTTTGGGACGGTGCCTCCGCCGCCACCGCCTCTTTGAAGTTGTGGAATCCTGCGCGCGAGGGGGCAGCGAGCTGAGCCGCTGCGAAACTGACCTCAGGGTTTAGGTCCGTGGCTTCCGGTGTGGGGGCCCCGAGGTCTCCTCTAGCAGTGCCGTGGCCGCGAATGCCACCCGCCTCGCCGACCCGTGCGTGGCCCTGTCTGTGAGGCTCCTACCGAGGAACCCCCAGCCGCCCCTCTTCTCCTGCCCGTGCAGTGAGCCAAACCTGCTGGTGCGCGCCTGTAACCAGCTGGGCCAGTTCCTGCAGCACCGGGAGACCAACCTCCGCTACCTGGCCCTGGAGAGCATGTGCACGCTGGCCAGCTCCGAGTTCTCCCACGAAGCCGTCAAGACGCACATCGAGACGGTCATCAACGCGCTGAAGGCGAGTGCTCTGTCCTCGGGGCTCTCGCTGCCGTCTCCCCGGGGGTCTGTTCTCTGTGAGGCAGGCTTAGAGCACATAGTACCCAGCGCCGAGTCCCGCACGTACCCGAGTCACGATAGGTGTTTGAATCAACGCAAACGGTTCTTTTTGGTAGAAAGATAAAACATCTCGTCCTTGTCTCTGAGAAAACTCACCATGTGCAAAAGAAAATCCGCTTTTCTCAAGGAATTAAAATTCCAGAGTTGAAGAGCCAGGTTGAGGTTACTTGCGCCTGTTACCTGCCTTTGCGAGCCTCCAAAGCAGGCGGTGTGGGCTCGCTCCGCAGGCTCGGCCGTGACAGCACCCCTGCATTCTCCTTGTCACGCTAGGTCCGCTGGAGAACGCGAGGCCGGGGGGAGGCCACAAAGCCCGTTGTTCTGTCCCTGGCCTGACCCCGTTCCTTTGTGTGCTCACATTTTTGGTGTGTGTTTTGAACGAGAGGCCACACGAGGGCCTGGCCCTGCTTCTGGTGTTTGTTATCACTCACTGCCAGTCTCAGAAAGACTTGCCCTTGCTCTGGCCCGTGGTCCTGCAGCGGTGCTTCCCGGGGCTGTCCCGTGCTGAGGAGCAGCTAGGGTCTTACTCTGCAGCAGAGGCTGAAGAGCAGGTGTGGGGTGGGGCCCGAGAGCAGCGCTCTGAGAAGCTCCCGGGGGAGGCAGAAGGTGCCAGTCTGTGACCATACAGTAGAGGCCTCTGACTGCTCCCCAGGGACGGAGCTGGATTCCGGGTGGGGAGAGTCAAGGAGCGAGGGGCTCCGTGAGACCTGTCGCGGGGAGGGGGGTGGTCCCGAGATCCAGACGGGGAGCGGGGGCAGTGCGCAGTTAGGCGTTGGGACGGAGTCGGGTGCCTGAGCCGTGTGGCCTGGTCACCTGGCCCGGGCTCTGCTCGTGCGGCTTTTCACTCTGCCTCGCACCCCCAGACGGAGCGGGACGTGAGTGTGCGGCAGCGGGCCGTGGACCTCCTCTACGCCATGTGTGACCGCAGCAACGCCCAGCAGATCGTGGCCGAGATGCTGAGCTACTTGGAGACGGCCGACTATTCCATCCGGGAAGAGATTGTGAGTCTGAAGGCCGCCGCGCTGCCACCGCAAGACCTCCTTTCCTTAGAGTGTGTGATTCTGCCCTGGCGCTTGATCGGGAATCCGCTAGGTCCCGGGTCGAGATCCCTCTGCTTAAGCTTCCAGGCCGCGTTCTCAGGGGAGCCTTGCAGGCTTTTGGAAATGACTTGAAACAGCCCTTGCTAACAGGGACCCTCACAGTGAGGTAGTTTTGCAACGCAGGTGAGTAAGAGTGCAGACTTGTGGGCACCGCTCTGTACGTTTGACCCTTGCCTTACTGCTTATGTGCTCAGCCTGTGCTCCTGCCTCTCTCGGATGCATCGAGCTCAGCCACCATCGGCAAAGCGGGTGTGCACGCCAAACAGATTGCCAAGAGTTCCCCAGATACTTATCGTGAGAAGCGCTGATCATGATCCAGGTAGCCTGTGGCCAGCAGAGAGGGGCCCCGAGCGTGTGTGTGATTCACAGAGGGCTCAGCGTGAGCCTGTGTGAAGGGGTCAGCTGCTAAGGTTAGCGGTCCCGCAGCCTCTCATCCTATGAAAAGTGTGTCTTATTTGTCTTTCTGGGGAGCGAAGTGCAGTTGAGGCCTCCTTGGGAACTCTGGGGGCAAGTGCCCAGCGTCAGAGCTCCCCACGGCTGACTCTCAGCATTGCTCCTGGGCTGCTGTTGGGCTTGGAAATGAGAGGCTGGGAGCTTCTGAGCCGATGTGGCTCCGCATATAGCTGGACACTCAGGCTTCTAGGGGATCATTTACTGAATGGCTCTGGCCCCTGTGGCCAGTCTGGGGCAGGTGCTGGCTCTTCAGTGCTGAGTGGCGTGGCCTAATTACCACGTGGCCATGCTTTGATGAAGAGCGGGGCTGGCCTGGAGAAGAAGGTCAAGGAAGGCTTCTCAGAGGAAGCAGCCCTGGAGCTGAACCGCTGAGCAGCCAGGAGAGAGGACACAGGCGCTTTGGTGGGGACAGGAGGGACAGGGGTGACCAGCCAGGAGAGAGGATGCAGGCACTTCGGGGGGACAGGAGGGACAGGGGTGACCAGCCAGGAGAGAGGACACAGGCACTTCGGGGGGACAGGAGGGACAGGGTGGAAGATCTAAGAATAGACGTGCAGGGAGAGGGGAGTCCGTTGTGGGGTAGGGGTGGGGTCACATTTAGAGTGTGGCCAGGCAGCAGGGCCTGGGCTCCCGTTTGTGTGGGTACAGCAGGTTCTGGGGACTGTACTCACTGGGGCACTGTTACCATCGTGGTTCTGTGTGTCCTGAGCTGAGACAGAGGGGCCATGGTCTTCTGTGTCATTAGGTGGGTTTTTTTGTTTTTTTTGTAAGTCTTGTTTATTTTTGAGAGAGCTAGAGAAAGAAAGTGAGAGAGAGAGAGAGAGCACGCAAGCTCGAGCAAGCAAGGGAAGGGGCAGAGAGAGGGGGGGAAGAATCTCAAGCAGGCTCTGGGCTGTCAGTGCAGAACCGGACGCAAACTGTGAGATCATGACCTGAGCTGAAGTTAAGAGTCGGACGCTTAACCGACTGAGCCACCCAGGTACCCATGGGTAGGTTTTTAAGGTTTTGAATGATAACCGGTTCCGTGTTGGCTCTTACTCCCTTTTACATGGTGAATGGCATTGCTCAGTTAGCTTCAGTCATACGAGGGGTAAGACAGATCTTCTGAGTTCGCGGTAAATGCTCTGTCTGGCCGTCTGTCCAGCCTGGTGTGTCGTATCATGCGTCCTGTGGTCGTGTTAGCTGCCGGGCGTCCGTACCTGGACGTGCTGCTTGCCCTGCCCACGGCGGGGCCTTTCTGTCCACGAGGAGTGCAGGTCATAGGCAAGATGGTGGAGCGCCTGTAGTGTGGGTGAGGATTGGCAGAGGCAGGGCTCTGGACCCCGGGGGGGCCTCGGGAGTCGCTGTCATGGAGTGCTGGGGGGTTTCTGCAGGAGGTGGCAGTGAGCTCGTCCTGAGAGGATGACGGTACTTGGGGGTGGGCAGCTGGGCGGCAAGGAGGCGGCTCCGTCCGGTGGGAGCAGGGCATGTATGGCAGAGGCAGTGAGGCTGCTGTCCCGTGTCACGGTGAGAGGCCCCGAGTGCTCAGCTTCGGGGTGAGCTCTGGGCTCGAAGGATTGAAGCCGAAGGAGGGCAGTGATGCGGCCTGAATTTTGGAATGATGCTCTAGGATCACTGTGGAGGGTCGCCACGGAGGCCAGAGAATGGGCAGAGCAGGTGGGTGGTGGTCCAGGCCCCAGCAGGAGCTCTGGGGGCGCGTTCAGGAGGGCAACACAGCAGGGAGGTAAAGACAGGCAGCTGCGTGAGGGACACAGTCTAGCGTTGGCAGCTGGTGCTGTTTGGGGGGCTTGGTGCCCTAAGAAGGTGGCGTGGGTGGGGGTGAGGGTCTGCTTTGGGTCAGCCCAGTGCCATTGCCCCTGGGCAGTGTATATGGCCCGCAGAGTCCTCTGGAGGGCGTGGGGGTAAATGAGTGGGTGGGGTCCCCCGTGCAGAGTTGAGGGAGGCTGGCCAGAGCAGGAGAACCCAGAGAGCCCTGCCACCCTGAAGGCGGGCTTGCTGGGAAGGGCTGCCGAGGCTCTGGTCCGTGGCGGTGCAGGGTCGCCATGACCCGGCTGGACCGTGTCTCTCCCGGTCTGTTCCTGGAGGGCAGTTTGGCTTTCCCCAGTGAAATCTGCAAATCTCAACTTTCTGGGCTCCCTCGAGAATGTGGTGGAAGCTTCTTGCACACCCGAGCTTTGGCACACGTGTTCAGGTCCTTCCGAGGCCCTCGAGTTGACGCGGCGCCGGCGGCTGTGGGGCCCGGAGCGGCTGCCCTGAGCGTCCGCACCCTGCAGGTGCTGAAAGTTGCCATCTTGGCGGAGAAGTACGCTGTGGACTACACGTGGTACGTGGACACCATCCTGAACCTGATCCGGATCGCCGGCGACTATGTGAGCGAAGAGGTGTGGTACCGCGTCATTCAGATTGTCATCAACCGCGACGACGTGCAGGGCTACGCTGCCAAGACGGTGTTCGAGGTACGGCCCGGACGCGCCCTCGGGATAAGGCGTGGGGTTCTGGCGGGCGTTGCCGGCCTCCCTGTGTCTCCTGCCCACCGTTCTGGGAGGTCCCGGCTCCTATGCTGTGGACACCACCTCTGCTTGAGCCTTATCTCCTGCACGTGCAGGGTCTCCGTTGGTGAGGGGCGTGTGCCCCTGGAGGATGCTGGTGTGCACCTGCCCCCGCCTGGGGCCTGAGTAGAGCATGGCTGTTGTTCCAGGGCTGGCACTGGCCGCATCTCTGCCTTTGGCGCTTCCCTGCTACTGACCTACCTGCCGAAGTGGCGGGAAGGCAGGGAAGGGGCAGATACTAAAGCCGGAGGGTCTCGGGGCAGCTCTGGTGGAAGCTTGCACTAACGTGAAAAACAGGCCGTGCGGGAGGGCGGCCTGAACCCCGTGTGGGCCTGGTGCCTCGCCACCTCCTAGCGACTTTACCCTGTCGTCAGACGCCTCCCGGCTCTTCTGCCTGTGCCGCGTGCTCCTGTGCATCAGGCTCACAGTGCTCACGGTTTCACAGGCTCTTCAGGCTCCGGCGTGCCACGAGAACCTGGTCAAAGTGGGAGGCTACATCCTGGGAGAGTTTGGAAACTTGATAGCTGGGGACCCCAGATCCAGGTGAGAGACCCCGTGGGAGCCGGGTGAGCACTGCGCCGTGATGCCGGCTCCGTGCTTCCTGGTTCCCACCTGGCGGCCGAGGGGAGGTTGACGGGTGTCCTCACCTGCTTGTTGGGACAGCAGGGCAAGAGCACTTCCGCTCCGGATTCGTGTGTTTTTATTCTCGTTCAAGCCGTACAAAAGTCAGGACTCTTGTTGACAATAGATGCGTGGTCACGTGGCTCCCACTGCCACAGGGAAGCGTGCTCTTGTGTGGGACAGGAGGCGCACGCCTGCCTGTGCGCCCTGTCCTGCGTGGGAGCGGTTCTGGTCTCGCGTAGGGGCCGTTCCCCAGAGCCACTCCTCGCTCGCGCCCGTGGGTGAGGTGCGTGGGCGCAGGAGCAGGGGGACACGGACGACGCGCTCCCGCCCCGTCTGTGCCCCACAGCCCCCTGATCCAGTTCCACCTGCTGCACTCCAAGTTCCACCTGTGCAGCGTCCCCACCAGGGCGCTGCTCTTGTCCACCTACATCAAGTTCGTGAACCTGTTCCCGGAGGTGAAGACCACCATTCAGGACGTGCTGCGCAGTGACAGCCAGCTGAAGAACGCCGATGTCGAGCTGCAGCAGCGGGCCGTGGAGTACCTGCGGCTCAGCACGGTGGCCAGCACCGACATCCTGGTAGGCCCCGGTGGCTCGGAGAACCCCTGCCGCACCGTCCCTCGCCCTGGGGCCGGAAGCTGTGGGGCTTTCCGCCGCCGTGACTCCGGGCTTCTTCCTCCAGGCGACCGTCCTGGAGGAGATGCCTCCGTTTCCGGAGCGCCAGTCCTCCATTCTGGCCAAGCTCAAGAAGAAGAAGGGCCCGGACACAGCCACGGGTCTGGAGGAGGCCAAGCGGGAGAGGAGCGCCGCTGTCAACGGGGGCCCCGAGCCTGCCCCGGCCAGCGCCGCGGTGGGTCCCTTTCTGGTGGCGACGC